AATGCTATATCTTAGACGAGATTCTACTAGAGCAGGAGTCGGCAACCTTTTGAGTCGGAAGAGCCAAAAATTACAATTTACAAAATTTCCAAGTTTTTAAAGAGCCACAATTTTTTTTCTTGCCAACCATAAATGGTACTTCCATAAATAAAGTTTCTTAATAAAAAAACTAACAGCCTTTCACAAGTCTACTGCTGAACATAGGCCTCCCCCAAGGAATGCCACAAAGCACGGTCCTGAGCCACCTGCATCCATCGACTTCCTGCATGTCTTACCAGGTCATCACTCCATCTAATGGGGGGGTCGCCCTATACTTCGCCTAAAGGTACGAGGCTGCCTCTCGAGAACCTTTCTTCCCGATCGGTTGTCAGTTCTTCGAGCTACATGGCCGGACCACTGCCACTTCAGCTTACTAATCAATTGCGCTATGTTGGTTACTCTTGTTCTACTGCGGATAACCTCAATTCTAAGTTTACCACGCAGAGAAACCCCAAGCATAGCCCTCTCCATAGCTCGTTGAGCGACCTTGAACTTCTTCATACGGTCAGCAGTAAAGACCATGTCTCAGATCCGTAAGTCATCACTGGCAACACGCACTGGTTGTACAATTTCGTTTTCAGGTTTTGAGGTATGTCCAACGAGAAGATGTGTCGTAGTTTTCCTAACGCTTCCCAGCCGAGTTGAATCCGTCGATTGCCCACTCGGTCGAAGTTGGACTTACCTAGTCGGACTATTTGTCCCAAGTAAACATACTCGTCAACAACTTCGAACTTAGTGCTCCCAACAAAAATGCGTTGAATATAAGTGCCACCGGCATAGGTGTGACATGGACGTTAAACATTTTTTCATTTTTGTTTTTTCCATGTTCATCTTAAACCTATCCGTTGGGAGACACTATTGAAGTCATTGAGCATAGTGCTTAGGTCCTCCAGCGATTCTGCTATAAGGACTATATCGTCGGCAAATCGAAGGTAAGTGATGTACTCGCCATTGATGTTAATACCGCATCCATCCCAGTCCAGTAGCTTGAAAACGTCTTCCAATATAGCGGTGAAGAGTTTCGGGGATAAAACGTCACCCTGTCTTACACCTCTCTGCAGTTGGATAGGTTTCGTACTCTGATTCTGTACTCGGATAGCCATCGTAGCTCTACTGTACAAACACTTCAGCACTTCGATATACCGACAGTCAACTTGGCACCGCTGAAGGGACTGTACCACCGCCCAAATTTAGACGGAATCAAAGGCTTTCTCATAGTCCACATACGCAAGGCAAAATGGCAGATTATGCTCCTTTGTCTCCTGTACAATTTTCCGAAGGGTATGTATGTGGTCTATGGTACTAAAGCCTTGTTCGGTAGGCTGGAAGTCGTCAAGTCTGCGTGCGAGACGATTCGTAATGACTATCGAAAACAGCACGTAGACGCGGCTCAGAAGGGAAGTCGATCTGTAGTTCTTCAAGAGAGCATTGTTGCCTTTCTTGAAGAACAAGTCCACCGCACTTCTGCTCCACGCCTCCGGAGTAGTGCCACCATGGAAGACGGAATTAAAGAGCTTCTGAAGAACTTCAAGTACCGGTTTTCCACCCGCTTTCAAAAGCTCCGCTGTAATCCCATCCTTACCTGGGGCTCTGCCATTTTTAAGGTGCTGGAGAGCCATTCTAGTCTCGCTCAGACTGACGTCTGGGATATCTTCGGAATAGTGTCGGATAAGACTCGCTCTTGGATCGTTACTCACACTTGCATGTGGTTCCAACGATGACGTGTACAGCTGCCCATAGAACCTCTCAATCTCACTCAAAATATCGGGTGTCCCGGAAACGATGTTGGCACACTCGGTCTTCAGCTTTGACAGTTGTCTCTGTCTGGCAGAAGGATCTCTGGCAAAGACTTTGGAGCCTTGGTTCCGCTCGATTGCTTCTTCAATACAAGCTGTATTGAAGTTGCGTAAGTCCCGTCGCATGGATTTGAAGATCTATCTGTTCAGTTGCCTGTATGCTGTCAAATCTGTTGAAGAATGTTATTTTATCACCCGTCTAACAGCCATGGGATTAAAAGTGTGATCGGAGAGTTTTTGTGTTCTTCTGCGGCGGGTCTTGCAGAACTTAGCTCCGACCGCATGGACAGTTTCTACGAGCTTGTCATATGTATATATATATATATATATATATATATATATATATATATATATATATATGAATAATAAACATAAATATAAAATAAATTTTATTTAGTAAAATTTATTTATAGAATATTGATAAATTTGGCTCATAACTTGTTGTTTTAAGTTTCAAACACCACTCTGAATTTTCATTTGTTAGTTGGCTTGTTACTTTACTTATAATTATATTCATGCAAGAGAACGAGCAATCGCACGAATATGTCGATCCGAAGATAGTCAGCACTCAAAATGCCAACTTCTTCACCTCACTGTAGCAAATCCCGAAAATTATTCCATGCGTTGAGTATATGTAAGTGCCTCAACTCGAGCCATTTCTTTTAAAGCTGTTCATTTTTGTTGCGTTACGTACTTTCATTTCTGGACCTCCAAAACTTTCAAATTGATTTTCAACTCTGTAGATTTTTAACTCCACAAAGCTTTACTTTTTAAATCGATCAATTGCATTTCTAGAGATCCAGTATCAACTCCAAATGGCTCAGTGTGGATCGAGTTTTAATATTTTTTTTATATAAAATAAATAATATTTGCGTATGAAACTAAAGAGCCGCAGCTTCACATCCAAAGAGCCGCATGTGGCTCGCGAGCCGCAGGTTGCCGACACCTGTACTAGAGCATAATATACCATTTTTAATTGCTTAATTGTCAGCTCCTCTTTTAAGCTTCGTAAATCATAATATGAAGATGATATATTTTTTCTATGAAATTTACTTCTTGTTTCCAATTAAGAAGATAATCTATATGGATACCCAAAAATTTTACAGAATCTACAGTGGATATACAGTGATCATTTAATTTAATATTGAATCTTGCTCTTACAGTAGATTTAAAAAGGATCGCTTTGGTTTTTTCTGGGTTTAATTAAAGGATATTTGCATTAAACCACTGAGCATAAGCTTCTAAAACGCAGTTATCTTTGTTGTTGAGATCAAGAATATTTTGTGCACTTATCGCTGCATTCGTATCACCTGTATAAAGTTGTACATAAAAATTGTGAACAGAACGGGTCCTAAGATTGAACCTTGGGGAACACCTCTTTTGATTTTATTTAGTTTTGATTTAAATATTTTCTCTTGAGCATTATTTGTACACTTATATGACTTGAAAAGCTCCTAAACCTATCCTTATACACAATAATGTTGTAACTTTTTAATAAAATTTGGTGATCCACCATGTCAAAAGTTAAACTCAAATCTAGAAAGAGGGCTGCTACCTTTTTCTTTTCAATTAAATTTGTCATAACATCGTCAATTAATACGTCTATTGCGTTATTTGTTCCAATATTAGCCCGATATCCAAATTGCCATTTATTTAGTATGTTGTTTTCATGGAGATGTTTAATCAGTCTTGTTTTTATTAATTTTTGCAGGAATTGGCAGTAAAGGAAATAGGTCTATAGTTTTTAGAGTCTGTTCTGGTCCCTTTTTTATATACAGACAAAACTTTGGCAATTTTAATTTGGTCAGGGAAGACATTTTAATTATTGTGGCACGCTAATGGCCAATTTTTAGTATGGAAGACGGTCGTCTGTGCACTAGCACTTTTTATTAGTTTGTGCATATAAGTTTTCTAAGGAAGAAGGAGTCAAATAAGTAAAGTATTTAACATCTTTTTTAAAGTATCACAACTCAACAATACTACTACTGCATGCATGCGTAAACTTTTTGGTAGTTATAGTTGCTTGATGAATTTGATAAAATGAAAATGAAAAGATTATTGTCTTTGTTCTTACAGCCCTTAACAAGTCCACCGCCGAACATAGTCTTCCCCAAAGGAATACCACAAAACACGATCTTGACACCGTAATAACAAGTTAAAAATTGAAAGTGTGATAGGAATTAAATGATTTATGACTGAGTTTTTTTTTACAGTACGTTCAAATACTATTGCTGAAAAATGTTTCAATTACTTTTTATAAAGTTAAAAGTTACAGCTAATATACGCCCCACTGCTGCGCACAGGTTTCCTCTCATTTCTGAGCGGGTTTTAGGGCAAGGAAATGTCCACCGCGCTGCACCAATGAGTGTTGGTGAACTTCATACGTCTTCGAAATATTTTTTTCTTATTTCCCAGACATCCAAGTTTCCTCACGATGATTTCCTTCAACGCCAGGCACTTGGTAAATGAGCACTTAAAATTACAATTAACAATTTTGCAAAAACAGGGATTGAACCCGGATTGCTCGCGTACTGTGAAATTTACAACGAACGCTTAGCCTCTGAGCTACAACCTACGACGGCTCACTTTTTATAAATGATCACGATTTTTGTAATCAATTCGATTATGTCCGTCACCACTCACTATAGACCGCTATAGACAAAGAACTTTATATATGACCGTAACCATCTTTTACTGTCATCTGTCATTGTCATTTCCTTCTAAAGTTTTGGCGGGAACTTGACCAGCCGCGGTTTGCTGCTCCTTTATTATAGTTTAAATAATAGTTTGAAGTGGAATTTGATATGTAAAAGTGGTGCGATTTTATGTATTAACTGTCTACGCATGTGAACTATTAGTGGAAACGGTGAAACAAGTGCTTGATGGTGATGGATTCTCAAGATAAGCTGTTTGTTTGCATAGGCGCCTTTAGATACCATCGCCAACTGTCAGCTGTCTGCTGGTTCAAGTTGCCGTTAAAATCTCCCAAGGGCTGCATAATATGACGCATCAACATATTGTGAAGCAGTGAAATTCCATATATTCAAAATAAAAAAGACAAGGCTGTATGGCATAGTTCCTTTGCCTGCTCTTTCGAGCGAATAATAAAAACAACAACATTTCCTTCTAAATTTTAGGTTATATATTTCGAATATAAACAAAACAATGTTTAGAAAAATTAAGATATATAATTTTTCGTCGATATATTCTAACTACTCTACCAAAGTGGAAATTGACGCTAGATTAAGGGGAAATTTTGAGTCAAAAGAATATAAACCACGCAATCATCCAGGGCGAACGAAAGTCAAAGTAGCTACCATACCTTCGGACATTCAAAAAGCAATAAAAATTATATTAGAAGATGCTGGTGCTAAAGCGTTTTATCAAGAGAGTGAGGGCCTTCTAAATTATCTCCGTTCGCGTAGATTGCCGCCAGAAGAGGGCGAAATAAATGAAAAAGCAGCAAAGATTTACAAAACAGTGTCAAAAAAGGTTTTCACTGAAATCAACAAAGACGAAAAGGAATTAACACAAGAAGAGATTGAACATTACAATAAAAAAATTCAAAACACAGTATTTAATGTTCTAAAGAAGAATGTATACCGTTGGGCGAATATTTCGTATGACAAACCAACATGTTTGCAATATCTTATGGTTAGAGCAGCCCCTGAGTATGCTATCTTGGTACGAATACTAGACGAAATTAAGAGAAAATTGCCCGATTACAAACCTAGAAGCTTCTTTGACTTTGGCTCTGGCGTTGGAACTGGTACATGGGCAATAAACACATATTGGAAAGGACATATCTTTGAGTACTTTGCTGTAGACACATCGGTACATATGAATGATTTAGCTCGTCTCATACTCTGTCAGGGCAAGGATAATGTTCAATTACCGTTCAAAGGTTATTTTCAAAGACAGTTTCTACCAGCTTCTACAGATTTAAAATATGATATAGTGCTTTCTGCATTTTCTTTATTTGAATTACCAAATATGAAAAGTCGACTAGAAACTATTCAGAAATTGTGGAATAAAACTCAAGACTTCCTAATAATTGTGGAACAAGGCACAAATGCAGGATTTCAAATTGTAAACGAGGCGAGAGAATTTGTTTTAAACTCAGCTGATAGCCAGAACAAAGGTTACGCTTTCGCTCCATGCCCAAATGATAATGTGTGTCCTAGGTATATGGAACATGAAACTCCTTGCAATTTTCTCATGAAGTATGAGTCATTACCATTCCCATCTAAGGCAGAAGTATTAGCGGATGTATTTTCATATGTAATTTTAAGGAAAGGTGAACGTCCAGCAGATGATCCACTGTGGCCACGCATTGTCCGCGCACCTATTGTTCGTTCGGGGCATACAATATGCAGGCTGTGCACTGCGCAAGGGGAGCTTAAGGAAATAATTTTTTCCAAAGGCAAATATGATCAGACTACGTATAGGTGTGCAAGATCGAGCAATTGGGGTGATTTATTACCTGTGAAATAAATATCTATGATTTACATTGCTTTTTATTTCCTTTTATAATTGTGGATAGATTTAGGTGTCTATGTGCTCGTTTATCACCCTTCTATAATAATTTGTTCTTTTACAATATTATAATTAAAACTATTTGTGATGACACAAATGTTGAATAAAATCATGGGATCAACATTTGTGCAAATATTGCTCCTTTAGTTTTTGAACCTAAGCAAACAGCTAGGTTTATTTTTAAATAAATTTATAGCTTACAATGACCTGATAGTCCACTTGATGCTACTACAGTCTGTAGCCCTTGAACCTAAAATGGAATGCCTCATAACTCGTAATTAAATTGCCTTTCTACGTCCTTGAGACTGCAACACAGCAGTACACGCACTGCTCCTTCCGGCAGAAATAGGTAAGAGGTTGGCATCTAGTCGGACGATCTCCCAGGCTCCTCAAAGAAGTGGTAATTTTGTTTACTGATATGTATTTTGAAACCAAGCTATTCCTGCCGAAACCGATTTTACTGCTATGGTACCTATCTGTATTCGTATAGCTATCTCTGAGATACAAATCGTGTGCAATCACTGAACACTTACTCTATTTACTCCTAAGCTTTATTTACTCATGATAAGGAATTTCGTGTTGAAAATGCTTTTCTAATCATTTGTACAGTAATGCACAAAAGGATTTAAAATAAAAATTAGACAGTAGTTACAAAAGTAAAAAGTTTTGTAAAATAATTAAAATATGTTGAGGTGATGAAAGGATGCTAGGATGATAGGAGGTGATGGAAGGATTACCGTAATCACTTCACTTTTTTTACAGCTAATATACTACGCCCCACTGCGGGGTACTGGCTTCCTTTCATTTCTGAGAGGCTTTTAGGGCAAGGAAATGTCCGCCGCGCTGCCTCAATGCGTGTTGGCGAACTTTACATGTCTTCGAAATATATTTTTTTCTTATTTCTCAAACATGCAGGTTTCTTCACGATGTTTTTCTTCATCGCCTAGCACATGGTAAATCAGCGCTTAATTGCAACTAACAATTTCATTGGTGCCGGCGGGGATCGAACCAGGGTTGCTCTCGTACTGTGAAATTTACAGCGAGCGTTAACCATCTTGGCTACAACGGCTCTACTTCACTTGACCTAAAATATTTTAATTTCTTCCTCATATTTTTTAACTCGCCCTTAAAACTCTATTTACAATTTCATTAGTTGCATGTCTACATGGATTAAACTCAGTTTAAGTATTATTTGTGTGCCATAAAATACTAGTCCATGCGGGATTGAAACCGCAACTCAATGTCATTTACTCAAACTTGTCCGATGAAAGGCTTCTTTAACAAAAAAATAATAATTATGTCCTTCAGACTGAATATCCGTCACGGTGCGGCGGTCAGTCTAAATGGAAACTAGTCATCTCCTTATGACAGTATTATGGTGCACGAGTGTGTGTGCAAGTTCAGTTGCACTCTCTACTTTCTCATCCTCATAGTCTGATGGGACGGCATTTCGACACGACCGTTTAGAGATCCGGCGCAGGACCAACGGCTTCACGTGCTTCGGGCACGTGAAGCACGGGGCTGGAACACCGTCTACTTCCTAACTACTAGGAATTTCTTAACAGAAAAGTGCAATAACTGGTTTTGACTCAACCCGGGATTGAAACCTGAGAGCAGGGTTAAACAGTCGCAATTATGCACCAACAGGGCTGTCAAAAACAAAAATTGTATACCTAGCATAAACAATGAAGATTATGATCTTTAAATAACCGAAACATTCAATTAATATAATCTATGAAAAAATAAGAGTAAAGTTACAGCTATTTACGCCTCACTGCTGGGCATAGACCTCCCATTACAATTAGTACCACTGCTCCAATGCGTGTTGGTGACTTAAATATGTCGACGAAATATTTTATTTTTTAGAAATGCATGTTTTCCCACCATGTTTTCCTTTACTGCCAAGTACGTGACTAATCAGCAATTAAAATAACTATTAACAATATCAATACGGACTGTGGAATTTATAGCGAGTGCTTAGCCTCAGACGTATCACGGCTCTCGTATAGCCTGATAAATTATAAAATAATAGTATAATTAAATAATTATAAAATAAGATAAATTGAAATTAAATGAATCCATTTGACTCATCCGCATAACTGTACTTAGTTCAACACAAATGACTAACGGGGAAACAGTCTGCGTATGTCGTGTAGTGATCATCAAAGACACTCGAGTTCATGAATAATTTAATATATTTATAACATTAACGTGCAAGATGAAGTTAACTTGTGCCTGTATTTTTATTTCATTAATATTTTTACTAAAAGTGAACGCAGCAACTGGTCGTAAGTGGATATTTTTTTTTATATTTATTTACATTTAACTTGTTTTAACGGGAAAATTAGCATACCATTGAGATTTTTATTTTTTGTTTGGCTCAAAACGTAATTTATTTCGATTTTGCAATGCAAATAGTTTCGTTTTGTTTATAGAGTAATAACAAGTTCTTTGTGTAGAGTAACTTACCGAAATAACTTTTAATTAATTTCAGAGATTATTTATAAATTCAAATGTAGTTTTTTTTTTCATCAAATATTTTGTCCCCGGTTACTGTTTATATTGTGTAAAAAGTATAAATCTTTTATACAATGAATATGGACGCGGGAAATAGGGTTTGAATGATTTGATTAACAGCGGGAGCTACCGCAGTTAAGTACATCCGCACGTTATCCAGATCACAGAATGCGAGTTTGCACAATCGTCTTTAGAATGAATGCAGTTCTTACCTCCTGATTGTGATTCTGGACGTCCATTAATATTGGGAGGCATTTTTAAATCTAATTTTGATTCTTAATCGAGGATAGATGTAGAAGTCTATGGCCCACAGCATACACTTACCATCGGTTAGACTGTGTGCTCGTTTGTCTACCCTTATTCTATAAAACATGTGCCTCCCCCATGGGTTGCCTCATGGACGGGATATTTGTCATAGTTGCCACGAATGGAACACGGGTTACTCTTACGACACTCATAGGATGATAATATGCAGAAGTGAAACTACACGGAACTCGGATAATATAAATTATTAAAAGAGATATGTAACATTTTGTATTTCAAAATCAATCCCGGGCATAAATTTGCCGATTTGAAGCAAGCACCTCATAAGTGAGAGTTGATTCGAGTAGTTCCAAAAACGTAGTGATTATATACGTATCTTCGATTACGAAATAAAACGCAGATGTGTTGTCACCCGTGAGGTCCAAGATGGAATGCCTCCTGTCCAGTAAAAAAGGGTCTCCGGTTCTCTACACTCACCATACGAAACACAGCAGCCTTGAGCTGCTATTTTACGCTGGTATTCTGTGAGAGCGTGGTCCTACCCCGATCGAGCCGACACATTCGTACTACAACTATACAATTAATATAGCTTCAGCATGGCTCTACCAGGTATAAAGATAGATATAAAGATGGAATATCACACGTCCTCTCATTACATACTGGCTTTTTATACCCTTTTGACCGGATTGGAATGCAGCAATGCACGCACTGCTACAGAAGGAGACCCCTTACATAGGGTATCTATCCCAAATATTTACTACAGTCGCGCTAAGTTACGGCCAATTCTCCGTAACTTCTGCAGTCATTATCATTATCATCATTACAGCCCTTCACAAGTCCACTGCTGAACATAGGCCTCCCCCACGGAATGCCACAAAGCACCGTCCTGAGCCACCTGCATCCATCGACTTCCTGCATGTTTTACCAGTTCGTCACTCCATCTAATGGGGGGACGCCCTACACTTCGCCTGCCGGTACGAGGCTGCTACTCGAGAACCATTCTTCCCGATCGGTTGTCAGTTCTTCGAGCTATACATTATACATATTTTTTGTCAGGCGCTCGGGTCGCTTAAATAAGGTATGTTATTGTAGAGCTTGTGGGGTGGTAAAAATGTTACAGATATAACAAACAAGTACTACGATTTGACGAGACCATTTTACGTGTTGTAGAAGTGAAGTCTGTGTTAGTACTGCCCAAAAACCGAGCATAGACCGGCACCGACAGTGGCAGCGCAGTGGAAAAACGAAGCCCCGGCACCGGCGCGGTGCTGGCGCCGTGCCGGTGCCGTGCCGGTTAATGGAAAACCGCCCTTTTTGTTTATATTTGTCTTTCTATCTATCCGAGTGGACCTCATCTCGACCAATTCGAGTACCCGATGAATTCATCACTAGATGGAGTGACGACCTGGTTAGACATACAGCATGTCGATGGATACAGGTAAAGACATACAGGATGTCCTTGGGGAAGGCCGATGTTCAGCATTGGACTTGTGAAGGGCTGTAATGATGATGATGATAAACAACCCAGCCGAAACAATTGTATTCACCGCATGTTAGCGATGATTTGATAATTTTTCTCTTTTAAAATTTCAGACTGCACCTTATCTATGAATACTGATTTCGGAGAACCTTCGCCGGTGTACATAAGAAATGACACGTATTTGGCGCCAAACGCGTCCTCGGGTTTCATTTTGTTGCGGCGCTCTGAAACATTGCTCGTAGGGTGTCCCGGCACGAAGAAATTCGTTGTTTTAGGCAACTTCACAACTGACGTAAATTTTTTGGTATGTATTATTTCTTATTACTCCAAATAATAATCAATAGGGGTGGATTTAGACTTAAGATCACGAGGCTAGTCCCAGGTCCAGCAGGAGACCTTTACAGGCTGATAATGACGATGTTAAATAATTATCACAGTCTACAAAATCCTACCGCCGAGACCGTAGCAACATTCAATGCGAATTGGCAGACTTGACATAACCTGGAAATATTTTTGTCTGAAACAAGCAGGTTTCATCACGTTTTTTTCACCGCCGAGCTTGAGGTACATCAGCACTTAAAATTGATATTACTTATTTAATAAGTAGTACAACCTTTGATGTAGCGGCGGCACCCTTGACAAGATGAGGAACGTGCCAATGCGGCGCGATACAAAGGCGAGCATATCTAAGCGAACATACTATACAGTGTGTCTGTCTGTCGGGGCTAATATTCGGAATGGCTTAACCGATTGTGATGAAACTTTACGAACGAAGATAGAGAGCAATGCCAGTAAGGATCTAGGCTATATTTTATCCAAAAAACTAGATTTTTTTTTGAAAAAAAAAAGAAACGAAAAATGTATAAATTAAATGATATTTGATTATCTCAATTCTTAAATCTAAATGATGCCACATTAATAGATCCTATCCAGGCGAAGCCGGCGCAGGTCGCTAGTATAAAATATATATGATTACAGATACAGACATAGTTAAGATATCATTTCTATGTGTAACTTTCAATTTTGTGTTTTAGGACGTGCAATGCGTATCGAATAAAACGTTTCGGGCTGGCCGGTGGGTGGGTCAGTTTAAGGACATAAAATGTAACTCTTTACCTTGGTTCACGGCTGAGGAGACCTCCGTATATTGTTCCGGACGGCACAAGCTGTTTAGGTAAGACGAAATACCTACATATAGGCACTTATTATCTTTTTAACACTCTTTTAATAGCTTGTACCTGTGTATGTAATATAATGAATGTAATGGATTTTTGTTATTCAATATACACCTATAGTCTTTCGCTGAGATAGTGTCTTTCCATCCGATTACAGTGTAGGTGTCTTCAAGGCAAGAGTGAATAGGCTTTTATTAAGTCAGTGCGCTTCACCATCTTAGGCTACGTGGTATGGTAAGTGGTGATCACTTACCATCAGGTAGATAAGCGCTGGCTTAGTAGATATTAAATAAAAATTCGGCAGATGGTCCAAGATACCTCAGCTGCTCAAGATGCTCAAGATAAGATGAAGTGATCGCTACCAAGCTATTTCTAATTTGTTTTGTGTCGATTAACTGTGTAACTTGCATGGTTGTAAGCTGTTATTTTTTTAAAGTCCTGCTGGTTTTCTTGCAGGTTCTTCCCAGGACAGAGATTTTTTTCCGAACCAGTGGTAATAAAAAAAATAGGTTGACTTTCAATAAGTATGATTTATAATCTATATTGAATAAAAAAGTTTCTGTTTCTGTTACCAAACCTAAAAAATGGAGATCGATACTATATTTCCTATAGTCAGCTTACAAAGCTTAATCAAGACCTATTTGAGTTTCCATCTAATTTGGTTGGTTAATAACCTTCTAATCTCGTAAGCGCTTTCCACTAGAGGGCATTCATGGGCTTTTGCTTTTTAAAAACTTATTCAGTGACTTTGCATTATAGAATTGGCTACCAGCTTCGCAAATTTCACACGCTATACGAGGCTTGTTTCGACCGAGAGCTGCTCTCGACTCTCTACGTGCACCACGATATCTCGCCGGCCAGTCACTTGATGCAGAACAGTAGCAGTAGACCGCAGTTTATTGGTAAGTAGAAGTAGAAATATATGCTTAAAACTGACAACGATTTTCAACCAATTTCAAAAAAGGAGGAGGTTCTCAATTCGACTGTATTATTTTATTTTATTTATTGTACACACTGTAAGTTGATAACAATAATTAAATATTCAAATAAGATGTACAAAGGCGAGCTTAACTCTAATAAGAGTTCTCTTACAGAAAACCTTTTGGGGGAGAGAAATAGTTTTGTATATAAAGCAAGTAGGTAGCAGCGCGTACTTAATAATTAACATGACACTACTTAATAGAAATTGACTATAAGTTATACTCGTAGTTAACTATTAACATATAAGTGTATAAAATATAAGTATAATTTCTTTGAATATGGTATAATAATGGTATTTTACAGCAACCGAAACGTCGGGAATTAATAAAAAATAAGTTAATAAAACGCGATGACTTTGCCCGCGTGGAATTCACTACGATTTTATGGGTTTTTAATTTTTTGCGTAGAGCCCTAATTCTTTTTCTAAAATAAAAGTATCCTAAGTTACCATTATAAAATCAGCTATCTGCCAGTGAAAGTCCCGTCAAAATCGGTCCAGCCGGAACAAACAAATAGACAGACGAACAGACAAAAAATTTGAAATTTTTTTTGTTATTGGTACCGTATATAATTTCATATGCATTTAGTAAAATGCAGTTATTTTAACATGACAAACAGACACTTCAATTTTATTTATTTGTATAGATAACTATTTATTTTTTGTGTGTTACCTCAGAACTTTTTTCTATGTGAGCCGATATTGTTGATTTTTTTTTATCTTTAAATTTGATCAAGATCTGACCAGTAATTTTTGAGTTATCATTAATAATGCGTATTTAATAGACTTCGACCACATTGATGATGTTCTTATTTTATTTACATTGAAGTCGGTTGCACAAAATTTTTAATTTTACCACTTGTACGAGTAAGCGCTACGTTTATTTTTTAGCTTGTTTACTAAAAAACATGTGACGTTTAAAACAAGCTAACGGTTTTTTGCTAAACCCAACGGTATGACTGGTCCTTTGGGAGAGAGTAGGGTGCTATAAGTGCGTAAATACTTTAGCGACCTCTCATCTAAGGGGTGCCTGATATTAATTTAGGAGGTAGTTTCGGAGACTGAATACTAAATGTCATAACGATTGTGTTTGATCCGGAACGTTAAAAATGTAATTACAATCATCGATACTTTGATACGACCCGGGTCAAATGAATGAATCATTAATGATTGACACATGTGTATTATACTCATCATGAATTTTAAGTGCAAATTAAAATATTTTGAAAACATGTGATCTACACCAATCTAGAATCTATGAAATTTCTCACCAAAGTATTATAAATAGATTGTTACTGTATTGTATAATAATGCTGATTACAGAAGGCAATGTGTTCGGTAAAATCAAAATGTCGAAAGTGTATGCGATTGAAAACCAAAGGGAGCGATTAAATAGTATCCTCGGGAACAACATGGATCAACAATATATTACAAAGAAGCAGGTATGTCCACTCGAGGGTATTAACCATTATATTTAAAAAAATAATGTCTTCGCAAGACAGGATTGTGTGTGCGCAAACTTAGGTGCACTCTCTGTTCCCTCACTCTCATCTCACGCTTCACATTAACGGAGAGAGATTAATATCAGTGCTTTGCAAGGCGCGGGGATGGAACTCCGTCAACCTCCTGGCTTCAAGCTGCTACACAGAATCTGTTAAAAACTAAATTTGTTACTAAATACCACCGAGACATTCAAAAATATTTCATATTGTAGGTAACTGTATCATAGTTCACAGTTCTCTGTGCACTTCCAGGTGTTTGCGCCTATATTTACTTGCAGACTGCTTATGTACTTCAGGGTGTTCCCGCAAAGAATAAATCACCTAGGTAAATCAGTACTTAATATTGCAGTTAAATTTAAAAGTGCCGGCGCTGATTTATCCAAGTTGCTTTGGGTTAGTACTTGTAATTTACGGCAAACACTTAGCCCTTGAGATTTTTGATATGTACCAATGTATATTATTATTATGTAAATTCGTAAACTCCGTACAGATATACCTTTTTTTATAGGATAGGGTGACAAACGAGCACACAGTCCACCTGATGGTAAGTGTTTGCTGCGGCCCATAGACATTTACATCTATCCTCTATTACAAATCAAAATGTAGATGCGTTGTCACCCGTGAGGACTAGGATGGAATGCCTCATTTCCAGTAAAAAGGACCTCCCGCCACCTGCACTCACCAAGCGAAACGCAGAGGTAAACCTCTACTTCACGCTTGTATTCTGTGAGGTCGTGGTACCACCCCGGTTCGAGCCGGCCCATCCGTGCGACAGCAAAAGCTACCGCGTGGCTCTACCACTGTTAAAAAGCTACATTATTTATACACACACATACACATATAATCACGCCTCTTTCCCGTAGGGGTAGGCAGAGACCAGTTCTTTCCTCTTGCTACGATCCTTACATACTTGTTTTGCTTCGTCCACTTTCATTATTCCCTTCATACATGCTCTACGGTTTAGGGTACTCTTGACCTGGCCTTTTTTCAAGACGTCCGTGATTTGGTCTAGAAATGTCCGCCTAGGTCTACCCCTTCCAACACTTTCATTCACACTCGCCTTATACACTTTTTTCGTCAATCATTCTTCATTCATTCCTCGACATGGCCAAACCATCTCAGCATACCTTTCTCAATTTTTGTCACTACATCTTCTTTCAGACCACAACGTTTCCTTATCTCACTATTTCTTATCCTGTCACTCAGTTTAACTCCTATCATACTTCTTAATGCTCTCATCTCAACTGCATTTATTCTGCTTTCATGTTTCTTCTGCCATACCCAACTTTCACTTCCGTACATGAGTGTCGGAACCAACACCCCCTCATGCATAGCCAAACGAGCCTTGTTAGACACCTTCCGACTGCTCATAAAGGAGTGCAAAGCTCCATTCACCATATTTCCTGCATTCACTCTTCTTTCGATATCACTCTCACACTTTCCATCTCTTGTAAACTTTGAACCCAGATACACAAACTCTTTCACCTGTTCAATTTGTTCATCTTCAATCACAATATTGCAGTCTGTCACTGCCTCATCTTTTTCAAACACCATCACTTTCGTCTTCCTTACATTCATCTTCATTCCCTTTCTAACAAAAGCTCCACTCATAGCAGTTACCATCTCCTGCAACTCCTCGGCCGAAGACGCAAGTAAAAAGTTATTTATAGACATACATTACATAAATTCCACAAGGGCAAACATCCAATTTCATCTAATGTTCCGGAGCCGTGTAGTGGCGGTTAAGAATATCCACTACCTCATATCTTCCCGTGGGTGTCGTAAGAGCCGACAGTGGGAAATAGGAAGGCGAAGGGCAGCAGCATCTTTCTGTAACAGCAATATTAAAATAAAAAAATTGCGGTTGCTAATTCGCTCGCCAAGCGTGGCAACTATGGCAAAAAAATTCAGCCTATATACGTCCTACTGCTGGGCACAGGCCTCCTCTCATTTCTGAGAGGGTTTTAGGGCAAGGAAGTGTCCGCCGCGCTGCCCACTGCGTGTTGGCGGAATGACTATGGCAATATCCCCCCCATAATGAAGGTTAAGAAGAGACGGCCCCCAGTCCCCGGCGGTCCCGCTATTACTGGCTACGGTGGCGACCATGGTAATGGTGGGGCAGGGGGTGCTAAGAATCTCCGGTGGTGATTCGATTGCCACCTACGGCGACTAGACCTGGCAACATACAACGCACGCTCCCTAATGACTGACGAGAAATCTTGGAGCTGGAAGAAGAGATAGACAAGTTACGCTGGCATATTATAGGATTATCTGAGGCCCGAAGAGAGGGGGAGGACACGGTAATCCTGGAATTGGGCAACTTATTGTATCACCGGGAGGCCGACCATCTGTTCCAAGGAGGTGTCGGATTTATCGTCCACAAGTCTCTCGTTAACAACGTTATAATTATTGTGAGTGTGTCGACAAGGGTTGCGTACCTTATACTCAGAATCACCAAACGGTATTCGCTGAAGGTCATACAGGTTTACGCACCAACCTCGGCAGATCCCGATGAGGAGGTGGAGGAAATCTATGAGGATATCTCTAGAGCCATGCATTCCTCCAAAACCCAATATACGGTATTAATGGGAGACTTCAATGCAAGACTAGGCACAAGAGAGAATGGTGAGCTGAAAGTAGGGAAATTTGGAATAGGGCAACGGAACTCAAGGGGCCAGCAGCTGACCGATTTCATGGAGAAAGAGGGACTCTTTATGATGAACTCTTTCTTCCAGAAGCGGCCCCACAGGAAGTGGACCTGGTCGAGCCCCGACGGTTCGACAAAAAATGAGATTGACTTCATTATGACGACCAGACGACTGTCTGGACTTGACGATTTCCAGATTCCCGAACAAGCCGGTTTCCGAAAAGGCTTTAGTACCATAGATCACATACATACCCTTCGGCAAATTGTACAGAAGTCCGAAGAGTACAATTTGCCACTATGTCTGGCGTATGTGGACTATGAGAAAGCCTTTGATTCCGTCGAAATTTGGACGGTGCTACAGTCCCTACAGCGGTGCCAAGTTGACTGTCAGTATATCGAAGTGCTGAAGTACTTGTAAAGTACGGCTACGATGGCTATCCGAGTACAGGAATCAGAATACGAAACCTATCCAACTGCAGAGAGGTATAAGACAGGGTGACGTTATATCCCCGAAATTCTTCACCGCTGCATTGGAAGATGTTTTGAAGCTACTGGACTGGAATGGATACGGTGTTAACATTAAATACTCGCCATTGATGTTCTCTCACCTTCGATTTGCCGACGATATAGTCCTTATGGCGGAATTGCTGGAAGACCTAAGCACTATGCTCTATGATCTAAATAGTGTCTAACGGATAGATTTTAAGATGAACATGGACAAAACAAAGATCATGTTTAATGTCCATGTCACATCTATGCCGGTAGTCGTTGGGAGCACTAAGCTCGCGGTTGTTGACGAGTTTATTTACTTGGGACAAATAGTCCGACTAGGTAAGTCCAACTTCGACTCTCGGTCAATCGACGGATTCAACTCGGCTGGGCAGCGTTCTCATCAGGCATACCTCAAAACCTGAAAACGAGATTGTACAATCAGTGCGTGTTGCCAGTGATGATTTATGAATCTGAGACGTGGTCCTTCACTGCTGGCCGTATGAGGACGCTGTAGGTCGCTCAGCGAGCTATGAAGAGGGCTATGCTCGGGGTTTCTTTGCTTGATAAACTTAGAAATGAGGATATTCGCAGTAGAACCAGAGTGACCGACGTAACCCAACGGATTAGTAGGCTGAAGTGGCAATGGGCTGATCATATAGCTCGAAGAACTGACAACTGATGGGGAAAAAAGGTTCTCGAGTGGCAGCCTCATACCGGTAGGTGAAGTGTAGGGCGACCCTCCACTAGATGGAGTGACGACCTGGTAAGACATGCAGGAAGTGTGGCTCAGGACCGTGCTTTGTGGCATTCCTTGGGGGAGCCTATGTTCAGCAGTGGACTTGTGATGGGCTGTAATGATGATGATGATGAGATTCCATCTTAGTCCTTAGTGGTGACAACGCATCTGCATTTTGATTTGTATATCTATGGGCCATACTATCCTCTTACCATCAGGTGGACTGTGAGCTTGTTTATCAATCCACGTCTGCGATCATCATTTCGCCAGCGATGCGTAAAGATTATGGCAAATTTTCGCCACAAAGGAAGAGGCCGGTAAAAATCCACTTCTGGATTCATGTCCAGGATTTTTACGGGCTTACGATCATGAAGAAGTATAAAGAATTGCTTTTAAATCTTAGAAGTAAAGCACATTTTATTTACAGTTTTTAAACCGCGGCCATCTTGCAGCCCGTGCTGATTTCATACTTCGCGCACCGCAGAAAGCATCTTTCCACTACATAAATGCGGCACCGCAATGGATGCGTGGGAATGCCGGGGATTGGGCTGCGTTGGAAGAAGTAAGCTTTTTTTAAACTAGTTCGGTTAGAGCAACGCGTCCGGAAGGACGCCATAGCATTTAATATTAAGGCCAGCCCCGCACAAACGGAATTTCGTTACGGGATTCCGTTTTGATATTCGGATTCGAGATTCCGAACGCAGCAACTTCATATAAAACCTATGACCCGTCACGTACGGTAGTTTTCCGTTCGAAATCTTGCGAGCAAAACGGGATTCCGTATGTGTGTGGCCGACCCGTTCGGAATTCCGAAACGGAATTCATTCAACGGAATTCCGTATGTATGTGGCCAGCCTAGGTCTTTACATATGAAAATGACGTTCCGTATGATAAAGGTCATTGTTCAGCATCCATACAATGTTCGCCTAAAAACCAACAGTTAAAAAAATACCTTTTTAAGTTCGAAATTACACATAATTGTATGTAAGAACAATAACTCCTGACGGACAGTTCTGAAAACAGATATTAGCAGTTATTATAGAGATTTTGAGGTTATGTTTTATTTTTATGAGACATTACTATGTTATTGCTAATGTAAGCAGTTCAGTCTTAGTCTAGCATTTATACAGTAAATAAAACTCAAGTTGTGATTAAGTATTTATTTTATTTATACCAAATAAATATCCTAACTTATACAGCATGGACGTTTAAATAATATTTACGTCCATGTTATACAGTCTCATTTGGTTAAAGTCCGTGATTCAAGCCAAGGTAGGTCGCTAAAGAAGAGGATCGATATCCGTTGTTCAAGGCAAGTCGTAATTTATAAAAACTTATCGCATAACAAACCAACTGCACAGTGCACTTAGATTCCAAAAACATTTGCAGAAATGTATTTTTTCAAACGAAACCAAAACGAAACTTGTCAACGTTTTTGACTTTTTTTGCGTGTCACAATGCTGATTTGCCAATGAGAATACAATAGTAATGTTATTTTAAATGAAAACAGATGATTTCATTGTACCCCAGTTCCTTGTGGCATATATTAATCTGAGATATATTTTAAAATATGAACGTTTTCATAATATATTTGAGTTTATGACAACTTTTGAAATATGTAAGTAAAAGGTATTGTGCGATTGGCCAAATCACAGGAGGCCATAAACGCTACATATTAGTATTAAAAATAGATACAAAGTTCAAAATCGAATAAGTCCTTTTTATTTTAATTTCATACATTCAGAAGTGTTCGTTACTATCTAATTAAAGATATATGTTGGTTCTTAGGCAAGTTTTAGCAATGTCCTTTGAAAAAAAAACCACAAACCATATTCTTGTCTCTTAGAGGCAGTTTGTTGATGTCCTTGCGATATAAAACTCCTGCAGAAGAATCGATTATCTCACGAAAAGCGTTCTTTACTGCTTTTTTGCAATTGAAATTGTTTGTCTATCAAAAAGTAACCCAAGCTTCAAAAATGGAAATCTGTTGGGGCAAAGTCTAGAGAATATGGTAGACGAGATAGGTTCTCTAGCTTTAGCTCTGCTGCTGCTAATTTTGTCAACGTCTCTGTCGTCAATTGTGTATCATTCAGTTCGTTAGCTGCCCATTTGTCAAGCTTTTTATTTTATCTATTAGCTACAAGTGCTGCAAAGCACTCGATATTTAATCTGAAGTGTTTTTTTTTTTTTTTTTTTTTTTTTTTATAGAATAGGGGGCAAACGAGCATGCGGCTCACCTGATGGTAAGTGACTACCGCCGCCCATGAACAACCGCAACACCAGGGGGATTGCAGATGCGTTGCCGGCCTTTTAGAAAGGTGTAAGCTCTTTTCTTGAAGGTTCCTAAGTCGTATCGGTTCGGAAAATTCGCTGGTGGTAATTGATTCCACAAAGAAGTTGTGCGAGGGAGAAAACTTCTTCTAAATCGCACAGTGGTGGACCGCCAATCATCCAGATGGTACGGATGGTAACGCGAGTTTTGTCGCGACGTGCGATGGTGAAATTGAGCGGCTGGAATTAGTCCGAACAATTCCTCAGAGCACTCCCCGTGATAGATGCGATAAAATACGCAAAGAGATGCAACATCTCTACGCAGTGCCAGTGTATCGAGCCGATCGGAAAGAACTCGGTCGTCGACGATTCGAATCGCTCTGCGCTGGATGCGGTCAAGTGGAAGGAGCTGGCACTGGGGTGCCCCGGCCCAGAGATGAGAACAGTATTCCATGTGGGGCCGAACTTGAGCTTTGTAAAGTTGCAAGCGATGTGCCGGCATGAAATACTGTCTCGCTCTGCTGAGCACGCCAAGCTTTTTAGAGGCCAATTTGGCCTTCCCTTCCAAGTGACCACGAAACTGCACGCTATTCGATATGTCGACACCAAGGATTCCGATACTGGCTGAGGCAGCAAGGGGAGTGCCTTGAAACTGAGGAGATACGACAAAGGGGTTCTTTTTAGCGGTAAACGCGCAAACTTGTGTCTTCTGGGGATTGAACTGGACTAGATTTAGTCGGCCCCAATCCGAGACTTTGTTAAGCAAAGACTCGACTTCAGACACAAGTTTGTCCCGGTACTCGGCGACGTTTTCCCGAGAAATATTGGCACGGCCGGTATATAAGGCATCCCCAGTGCTGTCGTCTGCATAGCAATGAATGCTACCAGTTAGCAACATATCATTGATATGCAGGAGGAACAGCGTTGGTGATAGCACGCAGCCTTGTGGAACACCAGCGTTGATAGGCTTGTAATCAGAGCATGCACCGTCTACTACGACCTTGATGCTCCGATCAGCAAGGAAACTGGTGATCCATTTGCACAATTTCTCGGGAAGCCCATAGGAAGGAAGCTTCGAAAGAAGCGCCTTGTGCCAGACCCGATCGAAGGCCTTCGCTATGTCCAAACTAACGGCCAATGCCTCCCCCTTGGACTCTACTGCCTCCGCCCATCTATGAGTTAAGTAAACTAGAAGATCACCTGCTGATCGACCCCGACGAAAACCGTACTGACGGTCACTGATCAGCTGGTGATCCTCAAGGTACCTCATGAGCTGGCAGTTTATAATGGATTCCATTATTTTGGAGAACAAGGAGGTGATGGCGATAGGCCTGTAGTTGGACGGGTCTGAGCGGTCGCCTTTTTTAGGGATCGGGTGGACCAAAGCTGTCTTCCATGAATTCGGGACTACGCCTTGGGAGTAGGAGTACCGGAAAAGACGCGTTAAAACCGGTGCCAACTCTGGAGCACACGTCTTCAGCACAATGGGAGGGACTCCATCGGGCCCACTCGACTTACTGACGTCCAGGGAGAAGAGTGCTTTGCGAACCGAGCGCTGTGTAAATCGCACATCCGGCATGGAGCACTCACATCGCGGGATGGTCGGCGGTGTGTTCCCCCCGTCATCTACAGTCGAGTTAGACGCAAAAAGAGAGCACAACAGATCGGCTTTCTCTTTTGCGGCATGGGCCAGTGAGTCGTCCTCTCTGTGCAGAGATGGGAGGGATGGCTGACAGAAGTTCCCTTGGACAGCCTTGGCGAGAGACCAGAATGCACGGGTTCCCGAAGGAAGGCGAACTAGCTTCTCGCCAATTCTGCCGATGTGCTCAGACCTTGCCTTGGCAATGACGCTTTTGAAGGACCTGGAGGCGGAATTATACTTCTTTTTAAGTGCGCTGGTGTTTAAATCCCGAGACGTTGATGCGTCAGCCCAGGCCCGGTAGCACTCCTGCTTATAGCGTGATGCTATTTTACAGGAGCGATCAAACCATGGCTGGGATCTGCCTCCAATGGGCACCACAGAGGATGGAATAAAAAGTTCCATACCCTGAAGCACCACATCAGCAACAGAATCGGCAACAACGCTGGGATCTTCCGGCGAGAAGCAAACCCGCCCCCAAGGGTAGGATGCAAAAAAAGACCGCATCCCATCCCAATCAGCTGACCTATAGTGCCAAACACGGCGGCAAGCTGTAGATCGCAACTGCGATTGGAGCGTGAGTGGCACCGTGCTCCGGATCAGACAATGGTCCGAAGAGCCCAGAGGGGCATCGACGGAGACCTGATATCCGTCCGGATGAGAGGTCAGCAGAAGGTCCAACAGGGAAGGTACATGGTCTTCCACATCTGGGATCCGCGTAGGCGAAGTAACCAGTTGTGTTAGACCATATGCCAAAGCAAAGTCGTAGACAGATCTACCCGCATGATCGGTTAAACGAGAACCAAGCCATTCAGCGTGGTGGGCGTTGAAATCACCGAGTATCACGATCTCTGCGGATGGGACCTGTTGTAGCACGGAGTCTGCAGCCATTTGGACGTGGTCGATGAGTCGGTCTGTGTCGGCATTACCGCTATGGGACCTATAGAGGCACCCGTAGACGCGGGGATGGTCGTCGCTGTCTACGCGCAGCCATAGGATGGACAGGTCCGTACCTTCAAGGCTGCCGAGGCGTCGAAAACAGATGTCCTCTCTGACGTATACGCAAACTCCAGCCCGGGGCACAAAGGAGTGTTCCAATTTGTATCCCGGGTAGGAGAGATATGAAGTATCAGCCGGAGAGGACACCTGAGTCTCGGTTAAAAAGAGCAAGGCCGGCTTCGCCGTCTCTAGATGGTAATGGACAGCGTTAAGGTTGGAATGAATTCCCCTGATGTTGCAAAAATTCACGGATAGCGTGACAGGGGTCGCCTTGGTTGTATTGCTCCGCTTGCCCCGAGCAGCATTAGTCATGAGCGGAATTTTGCCCCCCCCAGAATACGCGGGGCAGCCTGAGCACCCACGCTCAAGAGTGAAGTAGTTTGTTCGTGGATGCTCAGCGAGGGATTCTCCAGGGGTGCTGGTACCCTCCTGGGGTAGTCTTGTATTTAATTCCACTACCATGTTGATGGGGGGGGGGGGGGAATTGGGCCTCCGGCCACCTGCACTCACCAAACGCAACGCAGAGGTAAACCTCTACTTCACGCTGGTATTCTGTGAGGTCGTGGTACCACCCCGGTTCGAGCTGGCCCATCCGTGCGACAGCAAAAGCTACCGCTTGGCTCTCTCTCGCCGGGCAAGATGTTCAACCTATGGAGTGGCCAAATCTCCGTGTGTTATTACAGAGCCATTCTATATGTACCGCAGTACTTCGGAACTTTGATAGCGCGATTTAGGCTTGGATGCGTTTCACTTGTAGCGTGACAGCACGAGTATCGCTCTCCGTTGTCTTTCTGAGTATTTTAGTATGATATGTGAATGTCTTATCGTACCATAGTTTTCGTTCGACAAAGTAGATGATGTCGTCGAGATATTCCAAGTTTTTCAGCTTTTACGCACTATTGGTACGTTTAAAAATATTTGTGTAATTCACACGCGGTAGGAGTGAAATCTGTGTAATCAGATGATGATAACGAAATATACCTAATCCTTATTTTTAGATACATAGAGTCTGAATTTTAGTTTAATAAATCAAAATGATATTTTATTTCGAGTAGAATTGTGATAATTTTATTCAATATGGTTAATTTTACTTATTTAATAAAGTCCATCTTCCATCATTCCATCTTTAAAGCACCGCACAAAAAGGAGACCGAGATATAAGGAAGAGCATGGTCTACTCATCTACTGTATTCTATCTCATTCTCTCGCAGATTAAATCCTGTAAATGTATATGTTTGTCTCTTTTTAATGTCACTTTTTCGTTTCATTGAGTTTCAAATCACAACGATTCTTTTTTTTATAGTATAGGGTGACAAACGAGCTCAAAGTCCACCTGATGGTAAGTGGTTGCTATGGCCCTTCTACATCTATCCTCGTTTGCGAATCAAAATGCAGATGCGTTGTAACCCGTGAGGACTAAGATGGAATGCCTCTTTTCCAGTAAAAAGCGTCTCCGGTTCTCTACACTCACCATACGAAACACAGCAGTTTCAAGCTGCTGTTTCACGCTGGTATTCTGTGAGAGCGTGGTCTTTCTCCGGTCGAGCCGACCTATTCTTGCTACAACTATAGGTACTACTAATATAGCTGCAGCATGGCTCTAACGCGTATAATTAATTTTCACTTCCAAGAAGAATACGCTAATAGTAACGCCACCGAATAAATAATAGTACAAGAAGTAACGCTAGTAACATTAGTAATATTTCCGTAAACCAATACACGACATCTACATCTACCCTTGAATAAGAATCTAAAAGCAGATGCGTTGTCGCCACTGGGGACTAAGATGGAATGCCTCAGGTTTCCGGTTCTCTATATTCACCATAGGAAACACTATACGCCGGTTTTCTAAAAGAGCGTGGTGCTTCCTCGGTCGAGCCGACCCATTCGTGCTACAACCATAATATAGTCGTAGCATGACTCTACCACGTTTAGTTCTGTGATTGTCAATTAGCTTCCCAAGCGTGATGAACAAAGCAAATACCCCCTTACAACGGGTAGCATCATGTCCAGTGACCAATCAAGTTCACTATTTTGCTTCTGTTTCTATAAATACTAGGAGCAAGTTAGATATAGACCAGTTGCTCGACTACAAAATAGTCAGTAATTCCTTCACGGCGCAATGTATATACCCTTTTACAACAAAGTCCCAGAAAAAATGCTGACCTTATCTATCAAAAGGTTAAAATATTTATTAAGCAAAAATTGTTTAGTAAGGGTATTATACTACGAAAGAGTAAATGATTGATAATAACCCTGGGAATGAGGTGACCGCTACCATGCTGTTTCTATATGTTTTCATTACAATTGTATAAATATTACATTTTAAATTATGCTTTAAAATAAGTCGCGCTGGGTTTCTTGCTGGTTCTTCCCAGGACAGAGATTTTTTCCGAACCAGTGGTAAAGTAAGAAATGACCTTCAATAAGAATTACATGTCTATATTGAATAAAAATGATTGTATTCTATTCTATTTGCTTCGTTTAGGCACTCCGTCGCCGCATCTCAAAATACGGCACCAGCGTGAAAGTGATCACCGGCACTCATGGGGTCTGCACGCTGCCTGACAACCAGGGAATACAGAAGCAGTTGTTCTTGGGCATCGACGAAAACAACAACTACGTGATTCCTGTGCCACTTTATTTTTATAAGGTACAAAATGTTTAGATCTTATAACACTACTAGTTGGCCTGGCAAACGTTGTTTAGCCTTTAGTGGTAGGTAGCGCGAGCTCACTTCGGATATTTAACAGTAGATAGTGGACTTATTTACCACTGCGCCACCCATCGGGTCCAGATTATGTGATTTTTCTTTTTTGATACTAAATCGACAACCTACAACATGTAACAAAAACCCTGTGGTTCCCGTTAACTGATTTATCAGAATCAGCATTCAAACATATGTATGTAAATGACTTTACTTCAGAAATATGGAAAACAAAAAAATTAAATTACAAAAAAATTGTATTTGCAATTTGTATGTGGTTTTACTACCTCTAACTGACACGCGCATCTTGACTTTGACAATACTCTTACTCCTCAGAAAATGCAGAAATAATGAAACCTAACATAACTTTAATTTTCAAATAAAATTAATATTTAAATTTAATTTTTTTTTATAGGGTAAGGTGACGAAACGAGCACACAGTCCACCTGATGGTAAGTGGTTACTGTGGCCCATAGACATCTACATCTATCCTCGTTTGTGAATCGTTTGTTCAGATGCGCTATCAGCCGTGAGGACTAAGAAAGAATACCTCTTTTCCAGTAAAAAGGGTGTCCGGTTCTCTACACTCACTATACGAAACACAGCAGTGTTAAGCTGCTATTTTACGCTGGTATTCTGTGAGAGCGTGGTCCTTCCCCGGTCGAGCCGACCCATTCGCGCTACAACTATACTACCAATATAGCTGCAGCATGGCTCTACTACGTATAAAAAAAATATAATAATTTAAAAATATATGGTCAAGTTTTGTGAAGTAATATTATTTGTGTATTCTAAGATTTTCTTAACTCCAAAGTAAAGTTAACTGATAACGCACTTAGCGGGAACCACAAGTTTTTTGTTACATGTATAAATCATCCCTCGGGTGTCGCAGGAGGCGACAGAGGGAAACTGTAAAAGGGGCCGGGCAGCAATAACTAATAGTAAGTAATAGTAATAAAAACTGTGGTGCCAACCCGGTAATAATGGCAATCTGTTAATCCGTAGGGGACGCCTCACTATGTTCAGCAGTTGACTCATGATGAATGAATGAGTATGGTTAAATAACTCATAGCCCCCACCCCAATGAATTGTAAATGACTCACGACTAGCAGGATAAACATCACCGCGAAACCACGAGCACCTAAATCTAGTTATTGTTCTTTCTACCAATATTTAAAGAAATTATTTGCCACTGACGAACATGCGCCTCCGCCTTTGTAAGGATGGTATACCTTACTTGTCGCACTTGGCAGGTTTGTTGATCGCTGTACCAGACGTCGCGCACCTTTAACGGTACCTTCCAGTCTGGGTATTTTTGGTTTGGTGTAAACGAGATGTTTGTACCGCCATCTATCGGAAGTCGTAAGTTTTCTGACTTTCTCAAAGTCGCCTCTTCCGGCATCCATGAGACGGAATGGGGCGATGAAGTTACGCCGATAACACAGCATTACCTACCACTTCTTTAGAGAAATTTGCATTTTAGAGTCGCTATTTCGACATTATGCAACTAAAAACATAACGTAGCAGTGGCGTAGCTAAGCATGGGATAAGTGGGCCCTCGCCCCCCCCCCCCTTTACTTTACTACATATGACTAATTAATTTGATCGCTTTTACGATTTTTACAAATTTAAAAGCGTGTTTGTTTGGGGCCTCGCAAGCAATCATTCTTAAGTGCGTTGTAAGTACCCTCAAAGACCGCGATCTGTAGTTTGACGGAGTACGAGACTTGTCAGGAATTAATATCAATGTCGTGTCAAGGCATATTTGGTAGGATAGATTTATTGGGTAGATTCAGCCATTTCGGTAAGTTTTTAAAAGAAAACAGGGTTTCTGATCTCACAACAAATTGCGGCCCACTAATTATTTGAACCGCGTAGTGGCGGTGTAAGAATGAGGGCTACTAATTTTCTACTCACCAGATGTCGCTAGTTGACACTGAGGTAAAGTTTTTTGTTACACATTGTCATTTAATTTGGAAGTTAGTTTTAAATAAAAGTTTATCAGTTTCTAGAGTATTATATTGATACACATAACAATGCCTTATGCCTGGTTTGCTCTTTAATTTTTTGCACATTTTAAACTCTTTTTTTTAATTTTTATAGTTTTATGAATATTTGTGATTTGGTTTATTTATTTTTAATCTTATTAATATAAAATATAGTTAAAAGTACAGAAAGAAACATTAACCTTTACATTTTCCGAACAAATTAATTTCCCCGCTATGAAATCTATTAAATATTATACCTCACTTATAATTGCCGCCGCCCTGGTGGCAGAAAAAATCGTGGATGCCCTCATATCCATTACCCCATATCATCCCGTGAATGTCGTCAGAGGCGCCGAGGGAAAAAAGCCAGAAGGGCAGCAGCCTCTTTCCAATAACAATTATAACATAAAAAACTGCGGTTGCCAACCCGCCTGCCAAGCGTGGTAAATATTCGACGAATGAGGCAGTCTATAAGGGAGACCTATGTTCAAGAGTGGACTTTTAATAGACTGTAATGCTAACGGTTATTTGGTCGCTGCGTCGCGTCGGCTCGTCCATCCAGGCGCGCGCTTGCGACGATAACCAACGCCCGTCATACAGGTTGCGACACACATGCCAGTCGTTATTGCGACACGTTTCCTCAATATTCTTCAATTTTCACTGAACAGATTTTAAATAAGTACCAGCTGTTCTCCCCGGCTAGGCACATGATTTCTGGATCTCGACGACAGCGCCACCTACCGGGCACAATTGTGAATCTAAAGTACTAATCTTTTTTGTTTGTGTTTGAGTGGGTACAAAAGTGACACACAAAGAATTTCATCGAAATCAGTCAAGTCATTTTAGAGTTTTTGCGAGACTAACGCACGGCAATTGATTTCTATTTTACACTAGCCATCCGCTCCGGCTTCGCACGGGTGAGCAGCGCCACCTACCGGGGCCAATTGTGAATCTCCAAAATGTTGTGATTGCTACCAGGCTGTTTCTAATTTGTTTTGTGTTGTTAATTGTGTAACGTACACGATCGTAAGCTGTTGTTCTAAAAAAAAAGTCTCGATGGGTTTCTTGCTAGTTCTTCCCAGGACAGGGATTATTTTTCGAACCAGTGGTAATTAAACATGAGTGTGTGTCAAAAAGTATTATTTATAATTCACATTGAATAAAAAAGTTTGTTTCAAAATCTAAACCATTCTCGAATCAACTTAATCATACACATGTACAGATTTTTTTATATAGAGGTAAATATATAACTCCATTTTATTACAGTTAGTTTACGACCCGCATAAGAAGAGAGCGGCGGCTTTCATATCAATCAATTCCTCGTACTACAATAGCACTATGATCGAAAAGCTGACGTTCTGCAGCGACGTCTGCGACGGAAACAAGAAGTACTCGTGGCTAAGATGGCGATCTAACGACGGCACGCACAGTTTCTGTTGTAACTACGAAGAATTTTCAAAATATATTGACTACTTACCCAAACTTGATGTCAAAAAGTTATTTTACTAGATTGTGATATTAAAAAGTATATCGTCTGCATAATCATATGTGGAGATCTGTAAACCTTGTAAATAAAACAAATTTCCAGTCCAATACATTTATTCAACTATCTAACATAATGTATAAATTATTTAAATAAAATATACTTAATCTAAAGTCTTCACATTTGAGATTACATTTATTTTTATTTTCCTGTACAAATTAAAAATTTCAAATACGAGACTCAAGTGTTTTATTCAACATTTTAATTCGAGATGCGTTGGACGCGCCTGTTTTAATAGTGTGTTTTGTGTTAATCAACGATGTTTCAAACGGTTAATTCAGATACACCATACAAGATAACAGCACGGCTAAAAATGTTTTAGTGAGCAACAATAATGCTGGCTCTATACGATCGTTCAACCGTCGAACTTACAAACGTTCGCCGAACATGAGCAAATTCGTTTGAACCATAAAGCGTGTCTCCGTAAGACCGACGCCAAATAAAAAATACTTTACTAATAGAAAAATGCCCAGTGCTAATTATATAAATAAATCATTAAAATAAAACAGCAAGTGCACTGGGCTACACTTTCTTTGAGGTGAAGTCGATTTACCGCTGATAGCGTCGTCCCCCGAGAGTTGAAGGGTTGGGCGATCCGTAAACAGCTTATAGTCTGTTCACTATGATAGTGTAACACACGGAGGCGCAATTTTATAGAAAAATAGAATAATATTTTTTTCTTAGAATTAATTTTAAAATACGAATATAAATAATAAACATAAGCTAGGCAGGAAAGAACCTATCACTACGGCGCTTCGTTTTAAAATACCAAATTCTTGCAAGTGATCGCTGCACGCGGCTACGTCTTTGACTCGATACGGTCCGTGCCAAGGCGGCGCGAACATAGGCGACCGTATCTAAACGAACAGACTATACAAGATTCTTAATTATCAGGTAAGGCAAAAGAATGATTAATAGACAATTAAATCACATGAAAGAAAGTACAAGTATTATTTAGTAAGTCAATTACCATAATCTAAACTCTTAAACTATTCAGCGCGTACAACTTTCACTGGTCATAGATTACAAGTATGTTAGGCCCGTATTAATAAACGTTACTTAACGACAAACTCAAGTGCGTAGTCATTTTATACGCCCTCATTACTATATCAGCATCTTAAGATCGTTACCAATTAATAAACACATACAAACAGTATCTCAAAACGCTGTACTTAGAAATACTGTTCTGTGACTTGCACTCAAGTACACACACTTGAAAGTCGAGTTTCGTTTATTAATCAGTGTGGCACTCAGCTGATATCGTAAACCTAAACCGCATCTTGAGACATGTTTATTAATAAGATCATAACCTGTATATTGTACTCAAGTGTGCGTACTTGAGCTGCGTAACGTTTATTAATACGGGCCTAAATGTATTTTATTTTACTCAGATTCAAATTACTTATACAGAATAACAAAGTAAGTTTGTTTTCAATGATCTCAATTTTTACTTGACATAGTTGCAACAAATTTGCATCAAGCTATGTTACAATTTTTTATCACAGAGATTTAAACGACTTAGTTACGATAGAACATAACTAAATAACTTGCTAATAAGCTTGTATTATGTCTGAAGATTTGAGACGCAATTATTATATTTTAACAGATTTTTGTGCATTAATTAAAAAAAATATATAATTAGTTTTCATAACAAGAATTTCACTTTGCAGAAAAACTTATACAAAAACTAACTGTATAAATTATATTGATATTACACATTTGTATGTTGTAACTGTGATGTAATGTTGTAACATTTATCCGTAATATTATCGCAAAGTATGAATTGGCTTTATGAGTTGACATTTTTGCTTTTGTTTTGTTGTTTGTCAACTTTCCGACACATTTGATGACGGATTGGCGGGAAATTGTTTTTCCTTGTTATAACGGTAGATAATGTTTACCTCGAACAAATTGTTTTAATCGCTTCTAATTTGTACAAACATTTAAAAAGATCATAAAATAATATTAAGCCAAAGATTCCCTACTCTCAATAATAGCGGTCAGTGCTTGTCTATCTCTTTTATTTTCACATGCACATGCAACTAATGCTAGTAAATGCTTATTCGAATATTCAGTTCTTTCTAAAACGAACTCTTCGAGTTCATTTCGCGGGAGATAGTATGCTTTCACATATCTATCCACATAGTCTTGGTATGGAATGGGTTTGAGTCCCGAAATCTTCTCCAATTTAACAAAAAGCTGTCTGTAATCGAGCTGCATCAGTCCTCGACCGCCGTTGGAACACTTTGTTGCGTTCGAAAACCCTTCAACAAGCAAATGGACAATGAATTTCGAAACCATTGACCATATAGAATTTAACACTTTCAAGTTTAACGAGACTTTTGAGGCAATGTTTTCTAGACGAAGTGCGAACACTTGGATCTTTCTAATAATCATGTCAACGTAGGGACTGTTCTCGACGGCGACGTTCTTAACGTCCCACCTAACTTGTGACATAGCTATCAACGCTGATCTGGCATCAACAGCTTTTGACGCGGAACACATGTACACCGGCATTCGTAAATCGACGGCCACTGCTAAAGTATTGTCCTTGAAGTGTTCTAGAATCATCTTCTGATGTTGCGCGACAATCGTCTCTAAGTACGGCTGGAGCAGCTCAAACTGTTTCGCTAGAAATATAGCACTTTCCACAGCAACTATTCTCTCGCTCAGTCCATGCAAATTCGCCTCAGATGACATATCCAAATGCTGAGGCAAATCTGGGCATACAAAATTTTTCGCATCTTCCTCTCCAGGCGAATTAATATTATTTGAAATGCGTTTTAGAGCGGCACTTAGCTTTGTGCTGTATAACGTCGTGGATGCTACATCTAAGTCCGTTGTAAAAAATAAATGAACGGCATAGAAGTAGTAATCGAACAGTTGATTCATTAGCATTATCACTTCTAGTGAAATTTGTGGTAAATATCGACTGATCTGAAGATACTGGCCGCAATTTCTTAATACAGATAGTGTCGTGTTCGTTACTATAACACTTTCCTTTACTTTCGACGGACTTTTCGCGGGCTTATCAAATGTAATTGAATCTCTATCAGTTTCATCAACATAATCTCTTTTAAGCTCATCCGGTTCGTCTTCAGAGTCATCACTAGGCTCTAATTCTGTTTCTATGCCAAATATATCGTCGTTTGTTACGTTCTCATCTCTAAAAATCTCGAAAGGTGTCTGTGTTGTTTTGTACTTAAAGTATCTAGCGATATAAACACTGTCATCTTGCGAATGAACTGACGATGTAGTGTCTGATTGAGACCCGGTCTTGACCGCAATTGATTGGTCCGCTTTCGATGGATTTAAGTATTTTTTGAACTGTTTAAACTCTTGCAAGTTTAATAAATTAAAAGTTGATTTCACTGGACACTGTTCCCAGCCCTCGTTTTCTAAGAACAGCTTTAGCTCCTCCATCCTTCCTCTGTGATAATTCTTTATGTAGGAAACGCTTTGAGTTTTAATAAAGTCCTGGAGTAGATCAGAGGTATCGCCACAAAAAATCTCAGCTACCTGGGTTAACTTTCTCAAGATACCCAACATTTGTATGAATTTTTCAAAAGGATACTCCTCTAGGCCAGAATTCTTTAAAAACGTAGACACTTTCGCCTGAACGTCGTGCCAGATTCGTATTAATCCCGCTTTTAGTTTCTGTCTAATGTATTCCCTGCTTACATTCTTTTCTATGTCAAAAACGTTACTTGATGCTTGTGCTTTTTCCTCCTCATCATGTTTCGAATGCCAATCCACTAGTAAATAGTAACTTCTCATAACCATAAACAACTTTTCACATAAATTCAGCAAGCAATTTGGAGCTTTATTCGGGGGTACCCCAAGGCACATTTCTTGGAACTTTGTCTCAATAGAGATTTCCCCTGTAAATGGTTTGACTGCTTCTATCGCAGATTCGTTAACTGCAGAGGAGTAATGCATATGTAGCTGTTCCATTGCGGCTTGCGTCTTCCCTAACAGGTCGTAGGCTTTCTTTAATTTCTTAAAGACATCTTCGTCGAAGTTGTAGCAAATGCTCGACAACACTGAATCTAGTTTTTCCTCAGTCATGTCTAGTGTATCTTGGAGCCTTGATGAGAGATCTGCTATGCAAGTGTATTCCTTATGACTAGCGGCTGCTTTTCTACTTTTGAGTATCAATTCTATCGCCTCATAATACTCTTTTTTGTTTAACAGTTCTGCGACGTCTTTCTCGACGCTGCGCAAACTGCGTAAGAGTTCCAGAGATTTTAGTACTGATTTGATAATTTGTCTCTTTCTAACGTTAGCGAGTATAACAAAGGTGGAGATGGTTAGATTATTGGATGCGGTACATAAGTGTTCTCTCGCTTTTCGACACGTTTCTAACGTTTTTGATAATTGTTCGCGGATGATTTGTATTTCGGCAAATTCCCGATCGCAGTTATCTCTCTGTTGCGATATGAGATGAAGTGCTTTGCCTGAGACCACCTGAGAAAACAAGTAAATGTTCCTTTTATAATTTAGCCACTTTAAATTAGAAAGAAAATATTTTTTTAACTATAGCCTTATGCCTATGGAGAGGGCTATGCTCGGAGTTTCTCTGCGTGATAAACTTAGGAATGAGGATATCCGCAGTAGAACCAGAGTGACCGACATAGCCCAACGGATTAGTAAGCTGAAGTGGCAGTGGGCCGGCCATATAGCTCGAAGAACCGACAACCGATGGGGAAGAAAGGTTCTCGAGTGGCAGCCTCGTACCGGTAGGCGAAGTGTAGGGCGTCCCCCCACGAGATGGAGTGACGACCTGGTAAGACATGCAGGAAGTCGATGGATGCAGGTGGCTCAGGACCGTGTTTTGTGGCATTCTTTGGGGGAGGCCTATGTTCAGCAGTGGACTTGTGAAGGGCTGTAATGATGATGATGATGATAGCCTTATGGATTCGGAAAAAGAGATCAGAGAAGCGACAAAGGTGATTAAGAGCATAATTCACGTAATGGTCCAATCACGGCAGAAACTTGTTCATAAGTGGTATTTATTTAAAAGAATGATTATGAAGGCTGCAATGACAGTGGGTACTTTTGTGTGTACTGTTTCTTTCTAAAATATTACTCTCATTTTATATTAATTAATGAAAAGTATAAACTAAACTACGCATATTCCTAGAAGTAGAAAAATTAATAATAGTGTATAGAAATGTGCAAAATATTATAAATCATACCGCTGAGGCATGGTTTTGTGTATTTAAATACTCCAGAAACTGATAAACTTTTATTCAAAACGTAATTTCTCAATTATAATGGCATTCTGTAGCGACTAGTGATATCTGGTGAGCGTTAAATTATTAGACCTCGTTGACGTAGCAATGTTAACACTGAAACTCAGTCAGATTACTACTTGCATCATTATGCATTTATATCCAATCCTGAGCCGTCACTCTTATATTATAAGACGTGGTTTATTGACAGTCTCTGGGTTAAGGTAGTCTTTGTCTTGAAATAAGTCCCTAAGGTCGCGGTGGCAGTATTATTGTCCAATCCCGTATTTATATGTGGTAGAGACACGCTGCAGCCATAATATGGTTGTAGCAGGAATGGTTGGACTTGACTGGGTTTGGACTACGCTCACATAGAATACCACCGTTAAATAGCAGCTTAATACTGCTGTGTTCCAAATAGTGAGTGTAGAGAACCGGAGACCCTTTTCACTGGAAACGAGGCATTCCATCATAATCCTCAGTGGATACAACGTATTCTGTGTTAATTGAGGTTAGATATAAATGTCTATTAAACGGAGAGCTGGCTACATAAAAAAAAATGTTAGCCTCAGGTATCAGGTTGATTTGTATTAAAAAATAAACCTTTGGTGCAGCCGAACATTTCATCCGTCTGCCATCGCAAAGCTGGGACATAAAGCGGGGCCGTGCGGTTAAACATGATAAATTTAGCGGGGAAAAATTATAAATTACACGGACTCTAATTTCGGAAAAATCTTTTATTTATATTGACCTCGTGTACCTCGTGACTTTTTTATTCACACCCCTTTGACACGCCCTGGCGGCATGTAAATTCCTAGCAAATTGTCTGCCAACATTTTTCCTCGTTTCTTCAATATAAATAAAATATTTTTCCGTAATTAGAATCCATATAAATAAATTTGTCATGATTAACTTCACGCCCTCGCTTTGTGCACCAGCTTCGCGATGGCAGATAGGCAAATTCAAGTTCGGCTTCACCAAAGGTTTTTTTTTTAATACAAACCAACCATGTACCTGATGCGGATATTTTTTATGTAGCCAGATCTTAGACCATATGGGCCACAGCATGCACTTATCTAGAGTTGGACCGTATGCTCGTTTGTCGTCCTTATTTTATAAAAATACATTATGCCTATGCCTTTGTCCATCTAACTTAACTATAACTTAACTAATAATTTAATTTACCTGCTGTTGTCGCTTTAGCTTGGTGAACATCAGTTCTACAGCTTCACAGGTGGTGGGTGTAGGTGCGTGCTCCAACACGTACCGAGCGGCGTCAAACTCCGAGGGCGGGGAAAAGTAAACATTTTCAATTTCGCGTAGTACCTGCGCCGTAGATCGAAACATTTGAGATTTGAGTGTGCATATGTAGTAATTTTTGTGACGGTGTAAGTCCATTAGTAACTCATTACATTCTGTGAGTTTTATTTTTGGAACGAAGTTCCTTATTGTACGGAACGGACTTGGCGGATGACGGCTAGGCGAAAAAAGTATAAGAGTTTTTCATCTAGACCCTGGGGGCCATAAGGAAGCAAGATGGAATAATATCCATCTCTCTCGCACTTTTTCTTATCTTGCCTTGAAAGAAATATTATTTTAAATAACGCTAATATGTTTATCAATATTAGAAAGGAACTATTTTTCATCTTGCCATGAAAGAATATTATTTTAAATATCTTCATCTGTCCTATTAAGAATCAAAATGTAGATGCGCCGTCACTGCTGAGGATTAAGAATTCCTCTTTACCAATCAAAAGTCTCCAGGTGTCTAAAAACACCATGCTGCAGCTATATTAGTAGTATAGTACTGGTATAGTTGTAGCACGAATGGGTCGGCTCGACCGGGGCACGCCCTCACAGAATCATCATCATCATTACACACCCTTCACAGGTCCACTGCTGAACATAGGCCTCCCCCAAGGAATGCCACAAAGCCTGGACCTGAGCCACCTGCATTCATCGACTTCCTGCATGTCTTACCAGGTCGTCACTCCATCGAGTGGGGTTCGCCATACATTTCGCCTACCTGTACGAGGCTGCCACTCGAGAACCTTTTACCCCATCGGTTGTCGGTTCTTCGAGCTATATGGCGAGCCCATTGCCACTTCAGCTTACTAATCTGTTGGGCTATGTCGGTCACTCTGGCTCTACTGCGGATATGCGCATTTCTAAGTTTATCATGCAGAGAAACCCCAAGTATAGCCCTCTCCATAGCTCGCTGAGCGACCTTGAACTTCCTCATACTGCCAGCAGTGAAGGACCACATCTCAGTTCCATATGTCATCACTGGCAACACACACTGGTTGTACAGTCTCGTTTTCAAGTTTTGAGGTATACATGACTAGAATATGTGTCATTATTGTGAACGCTGCCCAGCAGAGTTGAATCCATCAATTGACCTCTCGGTCGAAATTGGACTTACCTAGTTAGACTATTCAACTTCGAACAACAATTTCGAGCTTAGTGCTGCCAACAACTACCGGCATAGGTGTGACATGGACGTTATACATCTCTCTCTCACAGAATATGGGCGTAAAATAGCAGCTTAACACTGCTGTGTTTAGTATGGCGAGTGTAGAGAACCGGAGACCCTTATTACTGGAAACGAGGTATTCTATCTTAGTCCTCACGGGTGATAATGCAACTGCTTTTTGATTTGTAATCAAGTATAGATGTAGATGTCTATGGGCCACAGCAACCACTTACCATCAGGCGGATTGTGTGCTCGCTTGTCACCCATATTCTATAAAAAAAACTGAAGGGAGTAGAAAACCAGTACAATTACCGGATGTGAAGCATTCTAATTAGTTCTCATAGGTGGCAATGCATCTGTGGCCTTCTTTGTTTGAAGTTGGCTGCAGGTGCCCATGGGATGTAGCAGCCATTTACTATCAGTCTCAATTACTATCACTTATCTGCATTTATGAAATATGCATTTGTAAGTGACAGCAGCCTAATTGATAAGAGTGCCGACCAGGAAAGTAAAGACCCTGGGTCCGAATCCGCCACACAACTATTGTTGTGAAGCTTACCAAGAGTAGTTAATGATAAATTTCATAAAAAAAAACCAAAGTCATTAAATAAAGTAAATGGATGAAAATTACCTCCAGATCGGCTGCAGTATGGGCGACGCTGAGGGAGCGAGAATTATAACCGGGTGGTTCATGGCGTTTTTCAACACAATCCTCTGATATCATACTTTACACTGCTAGCACTAAAAGAAAAAAAAATGGCTCAATAAATAAAATACATGAGCTTACATTCTAGATTATAGTAGGATAACTTTTACCCAACCATAGAATTAAGCATGACGCCTAAGCTTTTTTCCTTGGAAGGGAAAAGAAGACTAACTGTTTTAGTGGTTATGAGGTATACCATATTCAGCTTCTGAAGTGACATTTCTGTTTTGATACTAAATTGAGGGTAATTGTATATCATCATCATCATCATTACAGCCCCTCAAAAGTCCACTGCTGAACATAGGCCTCCCCCAAGGCACGGTCCTGATCCACCTGCATTCTTACCAGTTCTTCACTCCATCTAAGGTAATTGTTACCCTACCTCAATGGACTCCAGCATCTATTTACCATCAGATGGACTGTGTTGTTTGCCACATTACATGATAACTTGTAGATAACAAGAAAAAAACTCAACCCCCAATTAATTTTCTTGATAAAGGCTAATGTTGGTAAGAAATACAAAATATCCTCGCATATTTATTATCACTATCATCATTAATGCACTTTACAAGTCATGGTCCACAAAACACAGTCCTGAGCCCCCTGCAACCATTGATTGTCTGCATGTCTTACTAGGTTGTCACTCCATGGGGGGCTCAAAATTCACTTTTCTAAATCTTCGTTTGTAGCTCCCAATCAAATAATATTATGAATAAGTCATTTTTTTTGTATAGAATAGGGTGACAAACGAGCACACAGTCCACCTGATGGTAAGTGGTTGCTGTGACCCATATACTTCTACATCTATCCTCAATAAAGAATCAAAATGCAGATGCATCGTCACCCGTGAGGACTAAGATGGAATGCCTCTTTTCCAGTAAAATGGGTCTCCAGTTCTCTACACTCACCACACGAAACACAGCAGTGTCAAGCTGCCATTTTACGCTGGTATTCTGTGAGAGCGTGGTCCTTCCCCGGTCGAGCCGACCCAGTCGTGCTACAACTATACTACTAATATAGCTGCAGCATGGCTCTACCATGTAAAAAAATTTTGTCATAAATAAAGAATTTATTAATAACTTGCCTACAGTTCCACCTATCAGATCTTGATAACTGTTAATATTGTGAGAATATGATATCAATTGTTTAATTTGTTTAGAAGTAACCCTGTCCCTATCACATCAGATGCAACAACAATGGAGAATATTCACTTAATGATTTTTGAGTTCCATTTTGCAGTCAGAACATAGTTTCAAAATAACTCAAACATAGTGTAAAATACCATACTTCACATACCACCGTGAACTCAAAGAGTACTACTTCCATTTTATACATCATTGCTCCACATAAGTATAGCCAGATGGGTTTCCACAATCTACTTCTTGCCCCACTGCCAGATTTTCTCCTGACATCCCTCAAATTATACTAATTTGGTGATACTGTGATACAGTGGCTTAGCAATGAGTTGCAATGCTAAGGTGACACTGGTTAAAACCCCAACAAGTATTTGTATGGCCTACAAATGTTTCGGGTCTGGATGTTCATCCTTGTGAAATTTATGTATATAAACTACCCACAATACAAGATAAAATCCTAGTGTGGAGATAACATGTTTTTAAATAAGTAAAAGAAGATAAAAGAAAATATTGCTGTTTTAATAACTCTTATTCTATGCACAGATAACAGCAGAACATTTTTTTTGCTCTCTTTTATGGTTATTGGTTAGAATAGATTATTATTGGATTCTCTCTCTTATAATCATAGTAATTCTATAAAGTTAAACTGGATTCTTCTGAAGGTTTATTCCCACAACATTTAATCTGTATAACTTGTGGAAAATACTAATTTAAAAATGAAAACAGCTAAAGCCAGCAGACAGTTGAGGTCAAGTATCTCAAGTATAACAGATATGGTCTAAAAATGAGGCTATTCTTAGGATCTAAATGGAAAACTGTAAATTTTGAACTAGATTTCAATTGCTGTAGGTAAATGGAGGCTTATGTAAAATATAAAACCAATAAAAACAATGATGATTATATCTAACGTATATAAACTTTCACAATAATAGAATAATATTTCTTTAACAAACTATATTTACTAATATGACAACTGATTAACACATTCGATAAGTAAATAAAGTAAATATTTTTTTCATATTTCCATGTCAGTAAACAATAAAAGTTAAGAAAAGCTTCATAAATTCTATCAATTTATTCCACATCGTTTAACAAATAAATTTACACAACTTTGAAAATTCTCAAGAATACGAGAACGTGAAAATTTATTCCAAATATATTTCATTATAATTGCTTCAATGCATGACTAACCTGAGTAAAATCCAAGGATAAACCATTGACCACTACAAACTTGATAAATTGTTTATATTTGTTGTCTTTATATTAAATAAATTACAATCAAGATTAAGTACGACGTACGAAGAGTAGAGCTTAAAGCTTAGATATTCATTATATTATTGTTTTGTATAGAAGGTATTAAAGAATTTTTAGATTCATAAATATTATTAGCATGACAAAAAACTAAGCGTAAATACAATTTATTTAATTAGGATCTCTAGTTTGAGATAAGTATTGCTTGAATATACAATTTTCTTTGATTTTCTTGTATACCTACTAAGTAATATATAATGTACTCTGTGCCTACGGTGCCTACTAATTTCATTGTATCCAAATATCCATTATTGAAGTTGTTTTTTTTTAAACTGGCTTTACGGCTCTGGGTTCTAGCCCTTTTGAGCCTGAAGTTTCAATGTATTAATTTTACTATACATTCATCAAAATTTCACTTCCATTTCACTTTGATACACAGTTTGTTTACGTTTGCACTATTGATTAATATCACGTTGTTCTCATTCTCATTTTATATCTTGGACACCAGATATAAAGGAATATAGTGGTCGGAAGAATTTTTCATCAGCTAGTAAACTTTGAAGAGTCTTATGGTACAAACTATATAGAAACACTAGTCTTAGGGGCTTAGCTTTCCATTGACGTATGTTGAGTTGGGTGTTGATACGCATTTTTACAGAAAACTTACACTATTATAAGCACACACACAAAGTTTCAACATGCGGAAACGCGTAATTTTTGAGAAAAGAATTATTGAAAATCAATTATTCTTGCAATATTTATATCTAATCCTACCATAAAACTGGCGCCATTTTGTAATGTCATTGTCGACGTCAATAGGGATGTCGATTCTTTCCGAAAAGGTCGATTTTTAAATCGATTCAAATCGTAAGCTGATGTATCGGTTCACAAAAAATCGATTTCTAAAATATCTATATTTTTTTAATGTTTCTATTTATAATGTAAATATAAACGCATTTTATGAAAAACAAGAAAGATACCATGATAAATGATCTCTTATTGAAATTTGTTTTATTTAACAGTACCTATTAAGGCAGATAACAAATAAAATAGGTTAGGTTCAACTTATGTCAAAGAACCGAATTGATTGACCCCGACACCACCTGGTACGAGTCTATCCTACCCCTAGAGTGGTTTTATAGAGCCGGAGGCGCGTAGGGGGAGCAGCCTCCGCCTGCTGTAACAAATCGAAGGCATCGGACGAGCCGAAGCTGCGGAGGCGAGGAGGAATGCCTGCGATTTGTTACGCTAAGGCGTAGAGGCTGCTCTTCCCGCAGCGCCGGAGACGTAGCAGTCTCAAAATAGATACAGAAATCCTTCTGAATCAGTCCCCTTATTTTTTTATGATGAAGGGGATTTTTTTCTCATAAAATAGATTTATATTTACATTATAAATACAAACAGGAAAAAATATCGATATTTATTAAATCGATTTTTCGGGAATCGATACATCAGCTTACAATTTAAATCTATTTAAAAAATCGATCTTTTTCGGAAAGAATCGACAACCCTACTGACAATAATAATAAAAATGGCGTCAGTTTCACGGTAGGAATTGACTAAATATTGCAAAATTATTTGATTTACAATTTTTTTTTCTCAATAAGTACGTGTTTCCGCATATTGAAACTTTGTGTGTGTGCTTATAAAAATGTAATATTTCTGTAAAAATACGTATCAACACCAAACTCGACTGACGTCAATGGAAAGTCTTTCCGTATTAGGAACTTTATCATTGTTAATATCTTGAATGGAATTAATGAGGACTAATCTATTCAAACCAAATTGACTGCATTGAAAACCAGATGTTTAGGTCTCCTTTCGTATCTCCACAATATTCACAATTTGCATTTTCTTTCATTCCCAAACGATGCAAGTGGGCGGCTACTCTGCTATGTCCAAATCTCATTCGGTTTACAGTCGTAATGAATTTTCTATTATTAATCCCTTTTTTGTTGTACCAAGGAGTGGCAGGCGGGGTTTTTTGTATTTCATAATACCAAATTCCTTTGGACTTGCTTATTTCTTCCCAGTATGCCTTTCATAAGGATTTCAAGTTCTTGCTTAACAAGGCATATATATCTGTAAATGGTATTTCCAGCATTGTCGAGTGGTCTAAACATGTTGATGAGAATACGTCTCTAGTAGCAATGTCTGCTTCCTCATTCCCAGCTATCCCAGAGTGTGAAGGAACCCATATAAAGGTAACAGTCTTCTTTATTTTACTGAGATTGTTTAGTAAGTTTCTTATATTATATATAATGTAATTTTTTCAGTAATCCATTTTGTTAGATTCAATAGCTGTTATACCTAACACTTTTTGAATCAGTTACAATTAGAAACTGTGAATTCGCAATGTTTTTTTTATGTACAATAAAGTTAAGTACATTGCATAACATTCAGCTGTAAAAATAGAGCATAAATTGTGAATTTTAAAAGTTTTAGATATTTTCTTTTGTGAATCATAAAATGCTGACATTGTGTACTCTTCAGATTTTGATCCATCTGTATATATTGTATAAAAATCATTATCAGCTAGATATCTTAACATTTCCATTTGAGAATTCACTTTTTCTTGACATACAGAAACATTAACGTTCAGTAAAGCATCATATTCTATTTTACAGAAAA